CTGCCACTGCCACTGCCACTGCCACTGCCACTGCCACTGCAACTGCAACTGCAACTGCAACTGCAACTACTGCTACTACTGCTACTACTACTACTACTACTACTACTACCACTACTACTACTACGACTACGACTACTGCTACTACTACTACTACTACTACTCCTGCTACTACTACTACTACTACTACTACTACTACTAGTTGTCGATCCTGGTAGTCTTGGTCAATCTTGGTCCATAAGCAAGATTGCCAACCATCTTGCCATCTTTGTCATCTTGCCCCACTCGCCGACTAGTTTACCGAAAAAAGACCAAGATGGCAAGATTGCTGGCAATCTTGCCCCCCCAAAGTGGGGCAAGCAGGGAAAAGATTGCAAGACATTTTGGCAAACTTGCACAAGACTTTGTACTAGATTCCCGGCACACTGTACAAATACTACCGCTGCTACTACTACGACGACGACGACTACTACCACGGCTACTACCAATTGTTACAATCATAATCATCGTAAGAACCGTCATCATGAGCGTGAACATGATCACAATCTCTTCAGTCATCACACACTTACCTCAGTAGCACAAACCATAACAATAGTAATGGTAATCACAATACTCATGCTGGAAACCGTATCAATTTGAAGTGAATCATTTGTGTGACAGGAACAGTACAGGACCATAGTGGTTTTTAGCATCAGCATCGTCATCAGAGGCCTATTCTTCTTCTCGTCGCCAGGACTCTACGGCCCTGTCCCTGGCGTATGCCTCCGTTGGTGACGATGGCTGCACTGCCATCGCGCGCTACATGCGAGAGAATGTGCGGGCCTTGACATAGAATGGCAAGTATGTCTACTCTGATTCAACTTAACTTACCGGCTGGGTGGCCACACTTTACACTTTTTGGGGGTACCCCACTTTTAAGCAAACATAGCACACATACACGAAACGACAGGACGGTAAATCTAGATAGAAAACATACACGAAACGACAAGACGATACATCTAGATGCAGGCATAGTGGGATAAGGGATGGTTAGTGGTTTGGCGGCGACGGCGGTCGTGGACCTGGAGAGCAGCCGCTGGACAGCAAGCAGCCGAAGCTCTGAAGAAGAGCTTCGGGCGGGGGGGGGGGGGAAGGGTAGGGGGTTGCTTGGGTCGTTGGGAGGTTGAGGAGTTGCGGTGAGTTGGATAATTGGGGGCTCAGGTTTTGGTTGGGCAAGGCGGGTTCACTGGTCTCGGGTTTCCGGCTTAGGGTTATGGCTTAGGGTTATGGGTGGTGCTTGTTCGCTTTTTTGTGGTCTCGGGATTCGGTTGTTTGTGGGGCTGTCAGTGTTTATTTCAGAGGTTGAGGGCTCAGGGTATTTTTTGGGCTTTGGGATCCCTAAACCCTAAACCCCTGAACCTTAAACCCTAAACCCCCCAGCCCTAAACCCCCTCAACCCTAATCCCCAAACCGCCCCAAACCGTCATCCCTAAACCAAAAAACCCAACCCTAAACCCCCCCAAACCCCTATACCCCCCAACCCTAAGCCCGAAACCCTAAACCCTAAACCCGACCCTAAACCCCTCTACCCCTAAGCCCAACCCTAAAACCCTAAACCCCACCCAGCAAACCCCCTGACACCGACGGCGACTTCCTCGGAGATGAGGCCTGGGGGGTGGTTTCGGGTTTCGGGACCTGGCGTGCCTGTGCTCGCTCGGGATTCGCTCCCGGGCGTCGCAGGCGTGCCAGGGCCCGTTTAGGGAGACTGGCTCGCTCTGGACTTCGGTCTAGGGCGTCCAGGCTCCGTTCAGGGCACCCCCGCACGCAGAACACACCGAGGAGCCGCGCAGGTTTAGGGTTGGGCTTAGGGGTAGGGGGTTGGGGTTGGGTTTAGAGTTTAGGGATGACGGTTAGGGATTCTACGGGTTGAATGGTCTCGGGTTTCGGGCTTAGGGTTATGGGTGTGGGTCAATTCTCGGGATTCGGTTGTTTGTGGGGCTGTCAGTGTTTATTTTCAGAGGTTGAGGGCTCAGGGTATTTTTTGGGCTTTGGGATCCCTAAACCCTAAACCCTTGAACCTTAAACCCTAAACCCCCCAGCCCTAAACCCCCTCAACCCTAATCCCCAAACCGCCCCAAACCGTCATCCCTAAACCAAAAAAACCCAACCCTAAACCCCCCCAAACCCCTATACCCCCCAACCCTAAGCCCGAAACCCTAAACCCTAAACCCGACCCTAAACCCCTCTACCCCTAAGCCCAACCCTAAACCCTAAACCCCACCCAGCCCCGCAAACCCCCTGACATGGACGGCGACTTCCTCGGAGATGAGGCCTGGGGGGTGGTTTGGGGTTTCGGGACCTGGCGTGCCTGTGCTCGCTCGGGATTCGCTCCCGGGCGTCGCAGGCGTGCCAGGGCCCGTTTAGGGAGACTGGCTCGCTCTGGACTTCGGTCTAGGGCGTCCAGGCTCCGTTCAGGGCACCCCGTCCCGTCCCGGACCAATAAGGTTTAGGATTTAGGGTTTAGGAACCACTAAGACTAGAACCTTTCCCCAGCCCTGCTCTGCCCCACACACTTGATACCCCACGAAAACCTAGTGCACCTGAGGCCTCATCCCTTACCGAGGACAGTAACACAAGAGTAGATTATCCCTATGTTTTGTCATTTAAATTCTCGAACTGAAACCAGGATCGGGCGGCATCCATGCGGCACACATCGCCGTGGTTGGATACGGTGCCGATCTTGGCTTTCCAGTCATAGGACACCCATGCTCACGCAGTGGCTGCTGCTAGAGTTGATGTTCGCTTGAAAGTAACAAACCTGTGCACTGCCGGTTCATCTCAAGGGCGTGGGAGCCAATGCCATCGGGAGATTAAACTTCGAGCATCGGTTGAACTTTCAGACCGTTATTTGTTTTGCTTTAAGCAGCAAGAATCCCCATAGGTTTGGAGACATAGGGGGGCTTTCAGGGACGTATCACATGCAGATAACTATAGCTTGGCAGCTGCTCTCCACCCTAACTTCCTTCAGCAGCTTACCGACACACTTCATGCTGACACTGATGCGCACACACACACACGAACTCTTACACACACGCGCAAACACACACACACACACAGACACACACACACACACAGAGACACTGAGTTTTGCACCGTAGACACCCGTTTCACAGCATGGCCGAGTGTGATCCTGACTGTTCCTCCACGGAGCCGGCGCTGTCTCCGCGGCCTACTGAAGTCGCGACTGAGTTGGGCGACTGCTCTGATGTAGAGGACCATGGGTTCCGGATCCAAATCTCGCTCAGGGTTTAGGGTTTAGTTAAGCCATCCGGCCCATTTGACGACATCCTCGGCCTCCGCCTTTCAAATTAGGGATGTAACATGGCCTCCCCGATATCGCCAGGATGACCTTGTGGAGCAGCAGGAGGACTTCATCCTCTTGGGCGATTCTGACGAGGCATTGCGGCTCGCGCTGCACCGTTCGCTTGCGGACTCTTGCTTTGAATTATTCGGCTTTGCCTGCGGATTTACGGTTTTCAGGGTTAGGGTTTAGGGCTGGGGGGGGCTTTATAATCTTGTAGTTCTTCGGACGAGGATGCTGGCGGTGTAGATCCTTACGCTGAGCCGCAGCAGAATGCATCAGGGCAGGAGGCTTGTGACGGGTTGAAAAATGGTTGACAACTTGAAGTCATCAAGAGATAGAATGGTGGAGGAACAAGGGCTTTCATTGATATTGGCAAATCCCTCAGGCGGCTTCTTCGTCGAACGCGATCCCTGTGAAGAAGACTAAGAAGGCGAAGAAGAACAAGGACAAGCGGCACCGGGACAGGTGCAAGAGGGAAGCTGCAGCGGCTGCTTGGTCATCATGGTCATCATTCTCGGTTCCTTTTATGTAAAATTTATTATTCTTCAACCTGGTTGCCGTTATGACTCATATCTTAGGCTGGTGAGATGCTCGGTATCGATGTGGGCAGCCAGAGTCAGCGGACCATGATCCCTCATGGAGAGCTGCAGCGGCAAGTGCTCGAGGAGCTGAATGCTCCTCGATTTTTTTAATTTAAGTAGGTGGAAACCCTAAACCTTCCTCCTAAGCCTTGGCTGCTTGGTGGGTGTGTGAAAGTAGAAACCTTAAAGAATAATAGCGCCAGTGGAAAGCTGAGGCCACCAGGGCAATTCTTCTCGAGTACCGGAAGGCGCACGAATGGTACGAGAAGAACAGTCCTGACTGGGTGGTTGCTGATGCTCCGTTCCCTTTCCCCTACGTGCCGATCCTGCCTCAAGAGCACTTCAGGGGTGAAACGAAGGGACAGCTGCAGAAGATGCTGAATGAGCTCTTTGCATCTCGGCAAGATTGGTAGTCCTTCGCGAACTGTCCTGGGGTCATGTTTCTTTTGCCTGCTGATTCCGTGAACGATAATTTCACTTGAACACGCCCTCCCAACGAAGGATCTTTCATCATTGCTCTTCCGTGGGTACGAACTTCTGCTCCACTATCACAACGCGCACGTCACTCACAACGCGAGAAGTGACCGAAATCCGATGCTCAGATTTCTGCGGCCTCCACCTCGCTGCTTGCCTTTTCTTCGAACACTTTAAAGGAACTGGGGTTGTAATTCTGCCATTCAGCTGGTTACTTTCGGGCGGCATTGTGTATCCAAGGAATGGCAGAGCACATCACGCGTGGCGCTTCAAATCTGGGCTTCGTGCTGCCTTCTGGCGCTGGCTCCTCTGCAGCCTCGCCATCTGTGAGACGCGCATGAATGGATCACGGAGCTTTTGACAAGGGCCTCTGTGGCAGGGTCCGGGTGCTGATAAACATAGCATGTTATAAAGCTTCAATAATTACTCTAGCCGTGAGGGCAGTGCTTCCAAATTAGCCGC